GATTTTTTTTGGGGGGGGGGGGGTTCATAACATTAAAATCCTTATTGGTTTCAAATGTTCCCTTGCTGGAGCATCAACAATTTAAGTTCAAGCAGCAGAGGTATTGGAAAAGTAGGTTTAGTTGTTTGTTGTGAATTCGAAGATTGTGCAAGCAAACAAATCTAAAACCTTAACATGGTGTCAATGAGGTGCCTATATCAGTGCCATCTGTTTTGTCAGGTGTCAGTGAGATGCTTTAGGATGTGGGCCTGCAGCCATGCGGGGAGCCACTAGGTGAAGAACAGATGCCCCTCTAGCTGGGTACTGTTCTTCACTTTGTGAACACCAGGCAGTCTCCAAATCCTTCAGCGGAGAGCACAGAGGTGAATGAATGTGAGCAGAATTAAAGAGGAGAGTGCGCTGCTAATCAACCGTCCCCTGCTCCCTCGGCCAGATGTTAGAAAAAGAGCTGCAGCTGCCCCACACTGTTTGAAACTGTGTGATACTTTTGAAGCAAGGTGGTTAATGTGGTCATTAAGAGGGCGTTATTATTCAGCACCAAAGGTCAGAGCCATACTGGCTGGATGGCTTTTTGCTCATGAGTAATGTGGCATTAAAAGCCTCTCTTCAAACAGCAATGTGAAGAGGTCTGGCCCTCCTGTACTGTAGGTCTCTACAGCAGGGGCAGTATAAATACAGCCTGTCCATGCATCTTGTGCTTCTCTTCTCCTGGAGGGAAGCAGACAGACAAGGCTGTGGATTAATATTGACTTACCTTCAAGCAGATAACACACACACTCCGTCAGAGAAAGACACTGTCACTGTAACGTGGGCCCTGACCTGCACCACGCAGGACCTGGCCTAACTGTCATGAAATCCAAGGTGAAACATGGTCTCTTTCTTCTCCCTTGACTGTTGACTTTCATCAATCAGTGCAAGTAGCCCTACTGTACATTTCTGTGCACTCTGCAGCTGCACTAAATGTTCAGTTCAGATTACAGGCTGCACATTTGCTGCTTCAATGCGGGGAAGTAATCAGTAATAACTAAGTGTAAGGTTCTAGCGTTCATCAAATAAAAATTAAATTCCACATGACTGTCAACACCAAGCTGTTGCTCTACAAATTAAAAAAAAAGTTCTGCTCACAGCACTGACATGTCACATAAATTTGCTGGCATATTTCTGTCAAGGCAATATCCATCTATATTGCTCGAACACATTGGTTATCAGGGCCAGCAGGGTTTGCTGCAACCTACTTCCACTACACAGTTTGTCACTTGGAGCAGAGCATATTATGGATGAACTGGGAACACAGATTCATTGATTGATAGTTCCTCTGTGGCAGATTAGATTTTTTTTTAGTTCCAATTACCAGCTACAATTGGATTCACACAACAATGAAGCCTATGGAATATGATTCTCTTTTCCAGCAAGGGCAATTAAATCATCACACGCTTCAGTCCAGTGGTGACATGGCCTGGTAATAAATAAATTCACTCCCTCCACACCATGACACTGTTTGTGAGGATTTATAAAAGCAACCTTTTAAAGCAACAGCAATTGCATTGCTGCAAATGGCCTTTTAGAAAGCAGGAAGTAATGACCAGTTCCAGTAAAGAATCACAGAGATGAATTTTATGAAGCAGTAATTTTGTTTACTACTGAGCTGGGGGTTTGCAGTGTTGGATAAACCTTCTGTTCCCCTCACACAGGCAACAGTTAGTTACACCGTGGTCACTGAGCATGCTCAAAACACCTTCACTGAGGCTGCATTTGATTGTGGAGCCCTGTAGAGCAGCAGCCCATAATTTTCCACAACAATAGCCTTTGTAAAGAAAGCTAGAGGAAACATGTTGTACTAGAATAACCTTGCACTGGATCAATCTGATCATTTGCTAATGATAAAATTGGCAAATCATGCAGTATTTTCCAAATATCTGGTCCGTTTGTCAACCCCGCTGTGGAGGTGATGGATAGGGATGTGCTGGATGTGCCCGCGCCGGTCCAGCACAATGTATTCACATCATGTAATCCCACCCGTTAATCTGTTTAAGAGGGGTAGAGGGTTAATTCACCGGGCTCTTTATGCCAGGAGGGCTAAGTGGGTAATCTGTCGGTGGATGTGAAGCCAAGTAACCGCGGGTTCTAGCTTTTAAAACAATGGAAAATGGCGTTAAAGACCTACTTTGGTGAGTTCTGTGCCCATGAAGATGAGGAGAATCAGAGTGAGGAGCTTGCTCGCAGGCTGCATCTCTTGCCTCCGGTGTGTGGACCAGCGGTCTCACATGCAGATCGAGTCCCTTTGCGTCCCCCCGCACAGCAGTCCTCTCCTCCCGGCTCTCTCTTTTGCGCTGCAAGGGGCTCGATTTCTTTATTATTATGTTATCCCTCAGAAACCTTGGAGCAGAAAGCGACGGATCTGTTTCACGGAATCGTCTCTGTGCATATTCATTTCATATCTGGAGCCTATCCTCGGTGCCTCCCTTCGGTCTTCGTGGCCGCACTTATATATCGCTGCGACGGACTGTGATGAACATTGGGCTAAAGACGCGCAAACACTGTCGTACTGACGACTATAACCCTTCACTCTAATATTGCCAAAAGTTTACCTCCCCGCCTCAAGCTGCCGTGTAAGCTCTCGATGAAAAAATGAGTGACGGCACTGTACATGGTGCTGAAAACGGAAGCTGCATCGCCCAGAGAGGGAGATTTAAACTGGCAAACACACAGGAGCCAAACGCCTCTCCAAGATGACTGAGTGTCAGCCAGCCTGTCTTTGAAATAAACGGTGTCCTGCCAACATCTGATTTCTTTTATATTTACAGCAATTTACTGATTCAGTGACTCAATGGCATGATGAAATTACAGGATAGTCTATAGGCCATCTATCCACTGGAGGTGAATGCATCCCCCAACATCTGAGCAGTGAATATGGGGCTATAACTAACAGTTCGTTATCCACTGATTAATTGGTTTGTATATTACATGTCAGAAAACAATTTTCTCATTGTAATCCTACACAAGTCTGATGACCTCATGTACAGCCCCATCTTAGCTCACCACCTTCCACAACTTCAACATGACCACACATGTCAGCCAGAGGAGAGAGAAGTGAAGACACCTGTGGGAATGTGCAGGACTTTTCATTGTCAGGTGTGAGGTCATATGGGAATAAAGTCAAGCCAGTTTTTGGCCACCTCAGTGATGGAAACTAGTGTGTGTGTATATATGTGTGTGTGTGTGCCAGGTTAGCAGTATGCTTTTATGTTGAACATTACTTAGGTACTCTTAGGTATGGACAGTAAAGTACTTATTCCATTTGATGTCAACAATAGGCTCTTAGGTGTGTGGTTCTGAAGCTGTTCTGCTTTTGTCTGCCTGCGTCTACCGGAACCACATTACACATTAAAAGCTCCAAGCTCTGTAGATAGCCTCTCAGCCAAAATGA